AAGCCTTGGCGCGCGCGGCGCACCCCCGCCTCCGCTCCTGCGTGCCGGGCGGGGCAGGCTGTGCCTCTCCCGGTGCCTGCAGCCTTGGGAACGGTCCAGCGGAGGCGGGCGTCCAGTCCCGTCCCGTGCGGTCCGTGTGAGGCTGGGCACCCAGGGCAGGGAGCAGAGGTGGGTGGGCCTGTAGCAAGGCCAGTTCCGGTGGTTCTGGCTGTTCAGAGCGTTTGGTGCCATTCTGTAAAAAAAAAAAAAAGAATTATTCCCACGTGATCCCTGATGTGTCTGGTGAGGTGCGCGGAGGGGGGAGGCGGGTGGAGTGTAAGGTGCACGGCACAGCGGTGCGTGTGAGGCCCCCCCCCCCCGTGTCTGTGACTTGCAGGGTTCCCTGCTGGGAAGGGAAGGGTACAAGAAGCAGGGAACCCTCCTGTCAAAGGGGGCGAACCAGCAGGGTAAGGACAAACGAGGCCTGAGTTACTGTAGAGGGTCACGCCAGCCGCACTGTTTCAAGGAGTTTCCTTCTTTTTCTTTTTTTTTTTCTTTCTTTCTTTTTTCTTTCTCTTTCTCTCTTTTCTTCTTTCCTTCCTTCCTCCCTCCCTCTTTGCCTCCCTCCTCCCTTCCTTCCTCTCTCCCTCCCTCCCTCTCTCCCTCCTTCCTTCCTCCCTCCCTCTTTGCCTCCCTCCTCCCTTCCTTCCTCTCTCCCTCCCTCCCTCTCTCCCTCCTTCCTTCCTCCCTCCCTCTCTCCTTTTGCGTGTCCTTTCTCTCTGCCATGCCCTAGGTGGCCCAAGGGCACCCTGAGGGCTCCGTGCAGCGCTTCGACCCACCAGGACCTCTGGTGCCTGCACCTCCCCGCAGGGAGCCGTGAGCCAGGGCTTTGCTGGGACCGAGAGCTGGGCCAATGGACCCACTGGGAACTCGGGAGGTGGAGAATCCACACTGCCGCTGAAAGCCTGGGCCGCTCCTCTTGACATGGGAGCAACAAGCAGCTCTGGAGAGACTTGTTTAGAACTCCACTTGCTGTTCGTGTGAGGCAGGGGAGGAGAGACCGGAGACAGTTGTGTCACAGTAGCTGTGACTTCACCACATCTTGCATGGCATATGCTATTTTTACCTAGAGTTCTCATAAATTCAGGCTTTTTTTCCCTCTTGTGCAGTACTGGGGATGGAATCCAAGGCCTACATCCTCAGCCCTTTGTTGTTGTTGTATTTTGAGACAAGGTCTCCCTAAGTTGCAACCCTCCTGCCTCAGCCTCCCAGAAGAGTGAGACTATAGGGATAGCTACTACAACCAGCTGAACTCTGACTTTTGAAGCTGGGAAGTCCCATCTAGCTTGTTACGCTGGGTCAGGCTCTTAAACCCCCCATCTTGGTTTACCCTCAGCATGGCCCACAGTAAGAGGGACAGGCCTGGAAAAACTCCTGTTTGTAACCGGCTAAGAGGAGGTGATCTTCCCAGCAAATTTAGATCCCCTCAAAGTCAGGGAACCGGCCACACCAGCTTCCCAATCCAGGTCAGCGGTCTTGAGCACCGGGGACAGCAGCCTGGCAAGGAGGGCACTGTCCATCCTCACTGGGCCACGGGCACGCGTGGTGGTCCCTGGGGGCAGCTGGACCAGCTTGTATCTTATTTAATGCCTTCTCCTTAGAGAAAGACATCGATATTCCGAGTAGATTTTACCATCAGGTTCTTTTTTTTATTTTAAAAATAAAAGAATGAAAACATTAACAAACAGGCATCCATTTACAAAATAGCACAAGAACAATACAAGCAGTACAGAATTACAGACAAGGTGACAGGAAATTAACACTGGTTGCTGCATTACATATTGATAGCTTCAAAGTGGTTACTCAGGAAAGCAAATTTAGTGATTCGCCGTCAGGTTCTTTAAGTGGGCTGGCTCACTGAGTGGAGTCTCTACAGTTAGCAGTTTAAGCACTAAATCTATGACTTGAAACTTTGAAATGAAAATTAATCTTGTTGGTTTTGAAATAAAAATGGACGTGATTTTATATCTACAACAAAAAATTCAAAATGCAAGTCCAGCCATGAGCACGCTGCCCAGCAGCCTGCGTTATGGCTGGTGTCTAGATGTCCTGCAAAGCCCCATGCGGTCAGTGGTGCAGCCTTTTGGAGCTGGCTGGATCAGAGTGTGTGATGCTGGGTTTACGGGAGCCCCACCCTGGGTGTGAGTGTTACCCATCCTAAGGGCGGGCAGATAGAATTTAAGGGACAGAAAGAGGGCTGCTGTTGTCGCTGGTTATTTCACTGCTCTGCTGCCCTCCTGCCTTCTGCCTGCCATGAGCTGTTTCTCCTCTGCCATCTGCGATGCCCCTCTGCCGTGCTCCTCGGAGCCAGCCAACTCTGGACTGAAACCTCTACCGACTGTGCGCCAAACAGACCTGTCCTCCTTTAACTGTAGGTGTTGGTATTTTGTCTCAGCAATGAGAAGAAGTGACTAAGACTATGGCTGCAGGACCAGGGGCCTTGGAGAGAGGCTTAATCCATCTGGGTAACAGGAGCCAAAGGTGTTCTGTTTGCAAAGAAGATTCAAACAGTAATGACAAAAGTCAAAAGGACAAAGGGGCCAATGCGAAGGGCACCCCAGCCCAAAAGGAATAATTGAAGTAAAACACAGAAATGCAAAGGCTCAAAGCACATGAAATATCCGGAAGTTCATGAGTTCATCCATGTCCCAAAGCAACCAATTCACTAGACCAGAACTTTGTCCTAAAAATTGATACACACACATTTGGTTTTTTTCCTATATGAGCCTTATTTTATAGTACACAAATAGTTGATGGGAACATTTTTTTTTTTCAGTACTAGGGATTGAACACAGGGCCTCTGTACTGAGGCACATCTTCAGCTGTTTTTTTTTTTTTTTTCTCTTTTATTTTGAGACAGGGTTTTGCTAAGTTGCTAAGTTTCCCAGGCTGAGCTGAAACTAGTGATCTTCCTGCCTCAGCCTTGCAAAGTGGTGAGATTACAGCACGAGCTACCACACCTGGCTAAAACTTCTTCTTCATGGACAAATAGTGACAGAATTAGAATACCACTTTGGATTTTCTTTTTCTTTGCTATGCCTGGTGAAACAATGAATCCAGGCCACAACCACCAACAGATGCAGAAACCATTGTAACGCCGCTGCAGAAACCACGCTGATGGGAGCCCCGGCTGGACAACACAGAAACTCGTCCTTGTTCATGGGCGTCACGGACGTGACGTCACGGACGTAAGAGAGCTAGCGGACATCGGAGACGAGGAAGTACGCAGCTCGCCTCTGCACCTATCTATGAAGTCCAACCTGAGTCAAGGCCAGCCTCCAGGTGTGACTTCAGCTTCATGGAATACAGCAGATGGAGGAACGAGAGAGGCAGCTGCACGTCAGCAGCGTGGGACATTCTGCGGGGCAGCTGATCTAAGTTCTCTAATGTGTTATCACTGATACGACAAGCAGAGGGGCAGATGTCAGTGGTGCCGTAACCGAAGGTGGGATGCAGTCTTTGGATCCTACTTCACAAAAATCAATGAATTATTTTTGGGACAGCAAACTTAAGACTACAGTCCATGTATTTAAAGTCAGGGTGTAATTATTAATTCTGGTAGTCTGCAATAATGGCTGAATGGCTATAAAATAAAAAATATTTCTGAGCTATAAATGCACACTGAAATGTTCAGGATAAAATGAGATATCTTCAATTTCTCTAAAAAGAAGCAGGAAAAAAAGGGGAGAAAGAATAGATGAAATGATTGGAAAATTATGGTAATTTTTCATGCTGAATAGAGACTCATGTGGATCCATTATATCATTCTTTCAATTCTTATATGTGTGTTCACAATTTTCCATAATAAAAGTTAAAAACAGTAGGGCTATTAAGAAGTATTGTTTCTTGCAAACATCAGAACCAAAAATATCCGTTCCGCCTACAAATACTGTGCATTACATGCTGGAGACCGTGGGAGGTGTGGGGGAGATGTTTGTTTCTTCTGAGAGATGGCATAACAAGTACGTAAGAGCACGTTTTCCTTTGATGGAGCCCAAAAGCCAGAACACATGACAGTTAAGTTTCTGACTGGTTCATCAAGAAAGCCTGCGCCTCAAAGCAACCCAGAGGCATCTAGAGAAACAAAGGTAGAGGCTGTGTTCTTGCGGATTTGGGGAAAGGTTGTGAGTAAAATCCAGTGAAGAGACGGAGCGCGGCCAGGCTGTGTACAGAACTAACACCAAGTCAGGTGTGACCGGTGGATTCGGGATTCCCAAAGGTCCGATCAAAGGGAAACGCTCCGTCTTAAATTTCCCTATCGGAAGCTCCACCATCAGGCTGGAAATTGGGGCCACTTCTGTGTCAAAACACCCCGCGTGCCTCAGATTTTGTAGGCATTATCAGAATGTCCCGTTTTATTGACTTGATTTCAAATAGCCCAGCTTCCTGGCATGAGGTCCCCAGTGCTAATCACAAAAGCGGTTGGCCCGGACTCGCCGTGGTCTCCCGGGCATCTGAGCAGCGAGGGTCCTGTTCCTCCTCACCGCCAACTCGATTGTGAGCTGTGTCACACAGGCTCGCCGAGCAAGAAGACACCCGGGAACGGCGCCCAGCACCAGCTGCCGCGCCCCAGCTGCCAGCCACAAGGCGAGCCTCACGGCACCGTCCTGAGCCGGGTGTTCAGGCGACCACCAGCTCCGGGTGCACGTCCACCTTGGGGAAGCCCCAGCCTTGGGCGGGGGCTCACCTGCCTCGTTCAATGCCATGGAGCAAGAGCCCGCCCTGGATTTGCGCACGTACCTTTCTTAGAGGGAACTGCTTCCTCCTTGCTCCAGAATTCACCCAAATAGGACGAATTCTGCTCCGACCTACTTTCCTCCGTCGGGAAAGGATTCGCCCGAGCGAACCAAGATTTGGAAGGAAGGATCCCCGTCCTCAGCGGCCTGCCCTCCAACCAGCGTCTCCTCATCCGGCCGTGTCCTCTGCAGCCCATACCTGGTTCAGGCGGGGGAAGGGGACGCAAAGGACATTGCCTGTCTTCAGGCAGGACTGCCAGGGCGCCCTTCCACAGCCCCTGCCCACCTCTTCGTCTCTCTCAGGATCCGTTCTCTAGTGAGCAAGGCAATGCTGCAGCCCAGTCGATGCCTTAAGTGTTGCTGCCCCCTAGTGGCAGGCTCAAGGAATTTGGGGAAACTGTTCAAGGATTATGCTTAGAAAACGATTTTTTCCACTTTTCTTTCTTTACTTTACTGCTAGAAACTCATCCGCAGCCACGGACAGGAAAGGGGGTTCCGGGAGCCTTCGCAGGGAGCATGGCCCTGCCCACACCACGTGACCTGGGGCTCCCAGAACTGTGGGAGAATGCACTTCTGCTGCGGTAAGCCACCCACGCTGTGCTGCCCGGTTACAGCAGCCCCAGGAGACCAAGCCCCAAGCCCACCGCCCTGTGCGTCCCTCCCCGGAAATGGAAGGCCAAGCCGCAGCATAGGGGGCAAAGCTGAGACACACCAGGCCTCCCGGGTTCCTGAACCAGCGTTCCTGGTGACCACGAGCTGTGCTGCCGCTTCTCAGCAGGACTCAAGCCGCGTGACATCGCCAAGACACACAGCTTCCGCGAGGCTGGCCGCTGCTCCAGGCGGGGCCGGCGCCTAAGTCAGAGGGCGCGCGAGCCGCACGCAGGCACCGAGCCAGGGCGCCAGCAGCGCTTGGCAGAGTGAGGGACCATCAGCAGCCGGTCCCTGTCCAGAGCCAGGCACGAGGGGTCCCAGGGCCCGGCCCCGCCCCAAGGTCTTTCCAAGCCACAGCTCCCTGCCCTCTTCCCTTGAATCACTAGCCGGAGCACCCCAGGGACAAAGCATCTGCAGGGAGCCGCGGACAATTCAGTTCACTCTTGACCTACAGTTCCGAAGATTCTCTCCTAATGCTTCTCCCCGAAGCCCAACCTCGATTAACTTGCTTCCTCATTTCTTTATAGTTAAAAAAGATAAAGTTCCAACACTAATATCTTATTAAGTGAAGTGTTATTTATGGATGGTTCTGTAATTATGTTTATATCCAAAATACTGTAGTCTATTTTCCTTTCTGCTTCTTATACTACTTCCAGTGACAAAATACACAAAGAAATGGGAGATAAAATTTTTTCTTCACATTTGTTAGCAAACAAACATCTCTAAAGAATATCCTTTTCTCTTAGCAAAAAGCTACTACAAGTGAAAGATTCAAAAGGAACATTTATTGTTTATTATACTTGATCAATTTGATCTGGTGTGTAAAAATATCTGACACTAGCATTATTTTAAATCTACTACAAATAAATATACACATGGTATAAGGAAAACCACACTCTTTTTCAGATCACCAGTCCATACACAAAATAGGGCAACACGACTCATTCAAAAATCACTTTTTCTTCCTAACCTGTCCCTCCAGAACACAGGTTCTAGCACTCTTCGTGTCCGGAAGCCGGTCCCCTTGTTAGCGGTGAACAAGGGAGTTCTGAGGGAAAAGTTTGCCTTGTAAATATTCCACCAACGCAAGCCTGGATTTCAGCGTCTCCACCTCATGATAGGGGACCTGAGGAGGGAGAAAGTAAAAGCGTCACCGTGACAGTCTCCCGCTCCCCAGGGGCTCAGTGGGAGCAAAGGTCGCATCTGGCCCCTCGTGGGTCCCCTGTGCCCAGGGCAGTGCTGACGGCGGGGGAGGACCGTGCCGCACACACGGGAGCACCCAGGTGAGGAGCCAGTACGGGCCCTTCTCCGGGCGCTCACGAGCCGGGTGCCAAGTTAAAACACACGGGAAATCCAGGGAAGGCAGCAGGCGGGCGACCCGGCCTTCAGGAGAGTGAGGGCAGCCCAGCCAGGGCAGCACGGAGCCGCTCGGAGAGCCCGGCCCGGGTCAGCGATGGGACATGCAAGGTGCGGGGGAGCAAAGTTCCCAGGCAGAGAGGGGGCGCAGGGCGGTGCGAGCAGCGGAGAGCGCAGCAGCAGGAAAGGAAGACGCAGGCAGCGCCCAGCTCCCCTCGGGACGTGGTCACCACCACCTGCGACGGGGACTGATCAGAATAACGAGCTAAAGCAGTAAGGAGACAGCCGGAGAACGAGGAGCCCCTAACTCTCTTTGCCGCGGCCCCGCCCGCGACCGGCTCCAGTCGATCACAACGGAAACAGAAGCGAGGCCTCGGGTACCAAGGGCAAGTGAGCGTCCTGGTCTCAGTGGGTTACCGCGTCCGTTTTTACTCCAGAAATCAGAGGTAAATTAAAGGACAGTCCAACAACTTACTGATTTTAAGGGCAGAGTTAAGCGTAGCACGTTACGTGCTACGCTTAACTCTGCCCTTAAAATCAGTAAGTTGAGCGGTGGTGAACCTACGGCATACGTGTTGTTTTGTTTTTCTTTTACAACAAAAGATGCTCATGTAGTTGTTTTTTACTAAACTAAACTCTCAGAATTCGGGTGTAGTCGCAGCATTGGCGCTTCCTGGGTTCTGGTTGCCGTCTGGTACGTGGCCTTTGAAAGGCTCGCCATCACCGGCTTACAGGAATACAGCTGTGCTCTACTGCTCTGCACTTGAACACTTTCAGCAGCTAAGTCAAGAGGTTCCAGACTAACCGACAAAGTCACACCGTGAGACCTAAACAGGACCTAAGGTTCTGTCTCCAGGCTGTCCACTGTTAAAATAGAGACGAGGCTTGAAAAATCCCCAGCAGAGCAGACAATGTCAGTTAGGCCTTGAAAGAAAACTGTAACCTCACTTCCACTGCAATTTGAAGTGACACATGGGCCATTTTTTGTAAACACATGCAGTAAAAAAGAGAGAACTTTAGCCTCACCACTCAGTCATCCCACAAATTTATAATATCTAACTAGGGCCTTTCCCAGAGAGATAGGTCAAACTGGGAAGCGATATTCCTGCGGCCAATCAACTCGGCTTCACTGTGTTTGTTCTTCAGAGACACTCCGTCACGTTCCCTCGGCAGAGTGCCAAATCACTTCTACTTGGGCACTGCCCAATTCGCGAAGAAAGATTTGCTCAAATAAACTGTTTTCAAATTCTACTGTGCCTCAGCAGAATTAACAGTACCTTGTAGAAGGCAAAGGTGAAGTAGGAATTGTTTTTGGAAAAAAAAAAAAAAAGGTGACACCCTACCTAGACAACTGTTTTATGAACTTAAAAAAACCTTTGTTTCACTCAGAGTTTTGACGTACCTGAACAACCTGATAGCCAAGCAATCGCAGGTGTCTTTGTTTCGCGGCTTCTTTCCCCAGTAAGTGACTGCTGTTCGAGCAGAATCTGTCGGGACCATCAATGCACAGTGCTACCCTGAGAAGTCGAAATCAGAAAGAAAACTAACGTGTAAAACAATTCAAAGTATTCTGTACTGTCACTGCTAGAATGCACTTGGGATTTGGCTCGTCTTACATGCCAGTATAATTTTAAAATAGATCGAAAACAGGTTATCCTTTCATCTATTGAAAAAGGAATCAACTTTATTTACATTAATGTTTATGAAACATTACAAAGACTTGTAAAAATGACATGCTGAGAAGTATTTTCAGCTCCAGAATCATGTCTGTTTTTTCACCTTACTAAGAAAAAGAGGTATTTCTTAACTTTAACAAGCCTGGTAACACTGTAAGCCAGCATTTCCTTACCTTTTATGGACATCTTCATTAGCTGTAAAGGGTAATACAAAGCCTTCTTCATCTAGTTTAATTTCAACATCTGGTGAGAGAAGAAAGGAAAATCCCGCCTGTGATACCCTCACAAACACTCTTCCTGCATTCCTTTGTATCCGCTTCCAATTGCATTTATCAGTGGGTGAAGGCTGCAAAGTAACGACCACAACGGTGAGAACTGTAACTTAATCAGGTTGATCAGTTTGATGATCAACCAAGTCAGCCTATAGTGAGAAGGCTCAATAACACCAAAGCAAAGAGCGGATCCTCAAATGACCTGTGGTCACTTTCTTTCTCCTCTGTAACAAGTGCAGGAGCTCTTTCAATTCAGAGTGAAGCAAACCCTCTGAGCATAGACACCTGCACAACCCACACTGCGCAGCTGGCTTGAAGTGCCCCAGGCCAGGCAAAGCATCCTGAATTCCAACGTGTGTTCCACAGCACGGACAAGCGCCCCCCTGCCTCCCCCTCGGTCTACTGTTGTTCCTTTCTGAAGAGTCCAGTGAAGAAGAGGAGGGAGATGTGATCACTGAAACCTATGAGCTACAGTCCTGTAGGAGATGACTTTTTTACTCATCAATTTGGAAGGCCTGAAGGGCCAGAAGGACATGCAGTGTGGTTCGCATTTGTAGCACAGAAACGTTTATGACAGCCAAGTCTGAACTGCTAGCCTCGAGCCACATGGATGTGGCTGCTAACTTGGACTATGTCCAAGTGTGATTGAAGAAGTGAATTTTGAATTTTAACTATACATTTTAACTTTAACTAGCCACTCTATAAAGGCTACAATATTTGCACAGCACATGCCTAGAGTATAATAGCAGCTAACATTTACTGAGCATTTACTACGTTCCAAGTATTATTTAATTTAATCCTTCCGTCTTTGAGGTCACCATTCTTCTTTCTCTCATCTTACAGATGAGAAAACAAGAAAAGGTTAAAATGTGTGCTTAGGGTACCTCCTACTACGTGCTAATATGTGAGACTCGAACCCAGACAGTTGCAACTCTACAGCCCTACTGTTAACAGTCCTTCAACTGCCTTGGAGGAAGGGATGATTCCATTCTGCATTTCCAGAGACCTTCAGTGGCTACTGAATCCCCAGCGACTCCAAAGAGGACACTATGCTGCTGTTGAAAACAGTAAAACTCCCTCCACTACTTACCTAAGGTATAACAGTAGGGTGTTAGCACTTTCGAAGTAAAATACCTTCTAGCTCCTAAAAGGTCAACCAGTGCAGTTATTACATATTTACAAAGAAGAAAATCCACTGGGGTCTCCAGAGAACAGCATGGCGTGAGAAATGATTGCACTTGGAACTTAGGAAAAAGTTTCGGACCCTACAAAACAATACATGTAAATATGAGAAAAAAATCAGATAGGAAACCAGAGAATAAATTCAAGGACATGTAGGCATAGAAGTTTAGTACAAAATTACTTTATAGGCACCATTATTTTTCCAGGAGTTAGGGCAGATAGCTTTCTCAAAATGATGATATAAAACATTCTTGTTATAGTTTAAACTTTTCTAAAAATGTTTGAAAAAAAGTGATTGATCACCATAACAGGAGGAAGGAAAGAGGAAGGAAGCAGAAAGAAAAGAGAGAGGGCGAGAGGGGGGTGGAGTAGGAGAGAAAAGAAATATATCTGCGAAGAATGGAATGCTCATCATTTAAACACAAGTTTGGAACTATTAGACTTGCTTCAAGGGCCATAAGTACCCAAAACTAAAGCTTTTTTTTAATTTTAAAGAAAATAGTACAAAAAAAAAAAGAACAATAGCAAAATACAAACACAAAGCAAGGACAATGAAAATGGTACAGGGTTTCAAACCAAATGATAGACATTAACAGTGGTTGTTATATTACATATTGTTAACTTCAAAGAAGTTGCTCAGATTACCAGATGTAAGAAGAGAAGACTGATCAAATCATTAAAGGGAATAAGAAAGTGATAATTTAAAAGAATGTTAGAGACAATACATAGTGTCACTAGGCAGGACTGTAGGAATTCACCAATGGATGCTATACTGCAAATTATTGTCACATAAGTTGCTCAGATTACCAGACACAAGCATGCAAAATTGGTCAAAATATTAAAAAAAAAAAGCTTTTAATCATTCACTGTTCCCCTCAAATCATCAGACACCAACAGTACAGTTATGCCACCGATCCATATATATAGATATATATAAAATGCCTTAGTACTTTCTTTTGCTTCTTTCCCTCATCCCAGTTGTTCCTTCCTTTGAGCAATTTTTTTCCCTTTCTTATTATCTATGGTACATTTTGGGTTTTATTTACTCTTTCATGTTCTTACACCAGGGAGACAATAAGATGTTTACACACATGGGTCCGATTCATTTCACTTATGAGTATAGTCTCTAGTTGCATCCATTTACTTATAAAGCTTTTAACAGTGGAAAATATGATAAAGGTGACACTGCACCTTAGTAAGGAAGGTCAGTGATGTTCTAAATGGTGCAGGTAAACTTGTTATCCACGTGGAAAACACTCAAGTTCACTTTCTATCATCCATCACTGACTATCATCAATCCCAGGTGGTATAAGGGGGTGACACAGTTTTAACAATGTGTTGTATTCTTAAAAACTTGCATGAGAGATTTTAAGTGTACTCACCACAGAAATAAGGATGTGAGACAATGCACATGCTAATGACACAGTGCGTATATTAATATACTATGGAATGACTAAATATATGTCTAGTTCAAAGCAACATCAATAGGATATATATAAATCCTACTATCAATTAAAATACATAAATGATAAAAATACAAAATTCCAAGGGATTAAAATTTAAGTAAAATAAGAAAAATATTATTTAAAAAAATACATAAAATGTTTGTATTGCTTTAGTCGTGGTGAAATATTCGTGAGATAGAAAACTCAAGTCACAAAAGACAAATTCAACTAAAGAAAACTCAAAAGCTTCTGTATATCATAAACAACATTAAGTTTAAAAAAAAATAAAAAATTACAAACCAGGTCAAAACTATACAAAACATACATAACAGTTAGTATCTGTTTTACAATGTGTCCTTACAAAAAGACAAACAATCCAACAGCAATGAGTTAAATGTAACAAGACAATTCATGGAAAATATAAACGGCCAGGGAACAATTGCAAATATGCTCAACTTCACTATTACAATTTGAACGTGTGACATAATAGGGCCCTTTCCACTGAGTGGATGGGGGCTAACAACACAGCTGCAGAAGCAGGTGATGCACGGCCACCTTCGTTCACTGCTGCAGAAACACAGCACCTACAACTGCTAGCGGGGAATCTGTCAGTATCTACCCACAGTGAATCCAATAATCCCACTTTAAGGAACCTAATTTACAGATTTAAACAACAAAAGCCTCCAGGATGGTAAGATATGCAAGGATGTGTATTATAGTGGTTCACAGCCACAGACGATGGACAAAATCTGAAGCCCTTTAATAGCTGAATGGCAGAGTAAGTGTCATGAATGATCACCCCTCTCTTAAGAGAGAAAATCTGATTTGTATATATGGGACTCCTGGAATGCTGATATACTAAATGGAAAAACAAACTGTACTTTGTTTAGCTAGTACCATTCCATTAAAAGTAAAAAACTAGACATTTGTATGTGTCTCAGTTACTTTTCTTTCATTGCTGAGACAAAATACCCAACGCCCAACATGAAGGAAGGAGAGGTTTATTTCTCTTACAGTTTGTGGAGGTTTCAGTCCATACTTGCCTGGCTTCAAGGCAGAGTGGCACATGGCAGAGGGCTACGGCTCATGGTGGTGGAACACAGCAAAAGCAACAAGCGCAAAAAAGAGGAATGGCGGCAAGCAGTCTCTTTCCCTCCCTTACATTGTATGCAAACTACCCGCCCCAGGGCAAGTGTAGCTCTCACACCTATGATCCCAGCTTTGGATTATGGATCAATCACAAATCCTAGAAGCCCACCCCATGACTGCATGGGGATTTGGGGGGACATGTAACAAACCATAACATTAAGAAATGTGTATATCCTCATAGGAACTGCTACTGGCATGTTCAGGATGGAAGGAGATTGGGGACAGCTATTATCTTTCAGTACACTGGTACTGTCAAAACTATTTTTTTTGATACCGGGAATCAAACAGGACCCTGCGTTTGCCAGGAAGGAACTGTGCTGCTGAACTATATCCCTGGCCCTGTCCAAGCTATTTTAAAGAAACTAGTGTTTTTCCATTCTTATACCTTTCTCCAAAAATCGGATACTCTTAACTCTGTGTTCAAAGCATGGAGGACTGGGCAGGTATGGCACCATTTCTGATCCAACCCAGGGAATGTAGATATGTCATTAGAGTGCTACATGTCATTATAGGGTCCTCTGAACTAAACTCTGCCAGATGACAGTGAAATTCCTGGCTTGGCTTAAAAAGGTACTCTGAACAGCTACGGTAAGTACCAAAAAGCCTCCGAGAAAACCTGGGTGTGCTGCTGTAACCGCAGCACTTGGCGAGAATTTCTAAGGACCCTAAACTGCATAAGTTATACCTTCTGGGAGAAGATCACAGAAATGAGGCCAATTTATCAAAGAAAAGACTACGGTGGTAACTAATTCCAAATAAACACATCCCTGGTTTCTAATGAGGATGCTGAGACAGACCAAATGTGAAGGAAACAAACAATTGCAGAGGAGAAAGGAAAAGTGGCTCCACTGGGAAACACTGGGAAACAAAGCCACGCCCCACAGCCATGCTCTTACCTTATAGAAAGGGCACTCTAGGACACACGTGAGGAAAAGTTGGGTCAGTCGTGCCAGGCTCAGTCTGTCCACATATGACTCTTCACCTGAAGCAAGAAGCACTCTGTCATTCGGTTACAAGTGTGGCATGCGTAAGGAGAGAAGGAACATCCAGAATGTACACCAGTTTACTCACTGCGGAAGTAATGGATTTCAAAGCGACACTAGGAAATGAACTTGCTAGAATTAATCATGCCCTTTTCTTGTAAACAAAGAAACTTTCAAGAACTCAAAGCTTCTAACTAGCAAATATGATTATAAGTGACACATAGTAGACTTATTGGACATATTCAGTAATTACAGACAGCCAGAAATGTGACAATTTGAGTGGCCCTGAATTAAGATAAACAGTACCATCTTTTTGAAGAGAAGAGGTTACAGTTGCTCAGTCATCAAAGGTTAGAGCAGCTCTCTCCATGTGTGGTGCAAACAACCACCACCAAAGGAGCTGTTTCTGCTTTTAGATCATACCACAAAACAAAGAACTCACATCAGGGACCTGACGCTGTATGTACACCTTTAGCGATGTGCCCCAGCTGGCAGCAGTCTGATTATGTGACATGGCTCCCCTCCCACTACCCATGATGCCAGCACTTTCTATTAGCTTCTGTAACTTCACGTCTGTCCTTCAGAGCATTACAGAAGAAAAAATAAGGGCAGAGCATATGCTCAACATAAACAGCACCTACTGTGACCTGAAAACACAAGTTAAAAGGTTAATTCTGTTCAACTGTCAGAAATAATACCCAGCTCACCTTGAAGCTGCTGAAGAAAGAACGGGCTGAATATTTTTGCCATAAAGTTGACAGGGTGGCATTCAACAAGCGAACAGGAATGGAGAACTCGCAGGAGCATTTTGGGTGGAAAATGATTGAAATCCATGGACAGCACATTTTCTAGCTTCCTAAAGAAGGCAGAGGCATTTGGTGGCAAATAATTGAGTTTGCCGAACGGTTCGATTAATTCAGAAATCTGAGCAGGTGAAAATTTTTCCGACTGGCAAACAAAAGTTTCTGCCACTGCATTAAGAATGGGTTTTGAAAGAATCAGGTTTCTACTGCAGTATCCCATGACTTTACTGACAACTTCTGGGTCCAGGCTGAGGCAGTGTGATGCTACATGCTCCTCCAGGGCCTTTGTAAAAAACCTGTCACTGTATCCAAAATATGTGAAAGCCTCTAAGACTTTCCCGAGTTCTTCATTGTTGAAATGAGGAATGTACCTCACGACATATTTACCCAATTTCATAATGAGACGCCATGCTTGAGTCTGATCAAGGACCACCAGGGCAGCCAGCATTTGGCTGACTGACTTAGGACTCAGGCAGTGAATGACAGAAAGAGAGAAGTTGTTTATCCTATTTAAAAACGTTTGGTGTTGGTCTACTTTTTCAGCACGCGTCTGCAGTATTCTATAAAAGGCCACAGTATTTTCTGGGGTAAATGTTTCCAGTCTTTTACTTTGCAGTTGATGTAAAATCAGTTCTAGCATCACACAACCTGGGCCTTGCAGTCTAATCAGAGTTTCCCCAAGAATGCAAAGATCGGCAGCTTCCAGGACACCAGTTTGGAGACGTTTCTGGCATTCCGCCACCAGGCTTAGGATCAGGCTACTCTGATGATCCGCATGCAACAGAACCAGAGCTTGCAAAGTAGTCACCAGACCAGTGTTTGACAGAAGCGCGGGTTGCTGTTCAAACCGAAAGCACAAAGCTTGGAAGATGCTATTCTCTAGTATTGCCTTTGGCAGCCTTTGATCACCATCTCCTTTTCCCACTTCACAAATGCGCTGCAAAGCTCCTGCAGCCATAGCATCAGGCAGAACCTCCAGTGTGCTTATGAAACTTAACACCTCTTCCCACGAGGTCAGGCTGTTTAGTCTCCTGTAAAACATCTGTTCGTCTTCGCTGTTAAGATTTCGGTCAAGCCTGTCCCAGCTGTGCACTTGAGAGAACCTCTGCTCACCCAGTGGGTGAAGGTCATTCCCATTCTCTGAATGGAACTTCTTCCCGCGGGCAGGAAGGGACACCACCCTGAGAGGTTCAGGCTGCAGGGAACAGAACCAAGCATGCAGATGCCCCCTCACTGCCTGGTTAATGGGATTTACAGGGCGACTTTTCAGAGCAGACAGACCTCCTCCACACAACCGGACATCAGCGAGATGACAGAAGTTCCTCCACAAGGTGATTGATGCCATGCCATCTGATTCTCAACTCTTGCTTTACCAGGAAGAAAAAGAGGTCAAATACACTGAGAACGTCACACACTAAAACATCAATATTTATGAATCTAAGGACAAAGATAAAAAAATGACGATTAATACATATTTCTCACTAAACTAGAAGTAGCTAAAAAACAAGATTTTTTTTTTTTCTGTTCTCAAGTGCAGAACAGCCCCTGGGAACTAACAACAATCACTATCATTTGCCGGGCACTGTTCCAAGCGCCTGTGTGGCTCACCCCACGCAAATCCAGCACTTTTGGTACCAGGAAGTTAAACAACCAGGCAGTTACTTCGGCTCTTTTACGCGCGCTGGCTTGGCTGAAGGAATGCCTTTGATTAAGAGGAACTCGGGGGAGGAATAGAAAAGGCAAAATTCGGACAGGTCAGGCCAAGGCAAGGCGCCCGCGCCTAAAAAGCCCCGGGGAGCAGGTCTGCCGTGCCAGCGAGAACGCGGCGAAGACTGGGGAAGAGTCGCACCGGGCGAACAACAGCACAAAAAGGAACCGAAGGAAGGTCAATGAGGCAGGAAGGCAGCCCAGAGGTGGACATCCGCAGGGGGACTCGGCGCACGAGCGTGCAGGGCTCGGGACGGAGGAACCGCGTCCTCCGAGAAACGAAAGAACCCCGGGAGCCCGAGCGCGTCGGCGCCGCGAGAGGCCTCAAGCCGTGCAGCGCCGGCATGGTCGGTCCGGAGGAACGCCCGCGTGGACGCTTACCAAGCCGCGCCAGAGCTGCGCTCCCACAACAGACGGAGGGGGAAAGCCTCGCGGGCCACCGTAGGCAGACGGGAACCGAGCATGCGCGGGACCGGGGACTCGCCCAGATACCGCCCACATCCAGCGTTCTGTGATTGGTCCGGGCCTCTCCGGAGCGCCCTATTGGTCCTGAGTGCTGAGTTTGCGCGGTTTGTCCTTGCACGCTGAGTTTTTGAGTGCTAGCGGAGCGTTCTCGGGTCTGCGCGGCGCAGGTGAGGAACGCTACCGGCAGCAGGACCAGCCCAAGGGGGAGGCGGCCTGTGGTCGGTGAGGTTAGCCGGCTTGTTCGCGTGATCCCGGGCAGTGGTCCTACGGCTTGGCGCCCGCGGTGGACGGGTCCCGGACCCAGCGCCTGGGGTGAGAGGGCGATCGCCCTTGCTTCACCGTGGGGACCCCGCGACCCCGGGGCGGTGTGAGCCCTGGGGAGTCACAGTGTTAGCTGTGATCAGGCTTTCCTCGCTGACTGCAGTGCCCTGCCTGTGCGGTGTCTGCGTGTCGCTCTCAGTCACTCGTTCTCCCACCTGTTGAGCCCCTGGAATGCCAGGGGTTGGGCTAGTCCCCCAGGGATTGCGTGATTGACATGTAATCTATTTGTGGCGTGATTCGTCCTTAGATGGCTCCGAGGTATATTCACCAAAATGCAAGATTTTGACTTGGGTAAATTAAAAAGAAATGCACGTTGATTAAACTTAGTTCTGTGATTAGTTTTTACTTAAGAATTGTGATGAAATCGGCACGAGAAATCCTATAATTGTAATGGGAGTTCTACCGTTTTGTTTTGTTTCGTTTTGTTTTTGAGACAGTGTCTCTGTGTAGTCCAGGCTGGCCTCAAACTTGCTGCGATCCTCCTGCCGCTGCCTCTCTACAGCTGGGATTACAGGCGTGTGCCGCCACGCCCAGCCTACCTCTTTTTTAAAAAGAGGAAACAAAAGATGTCGGAATCTAAACAAAAAGGTGTCTTGTCTGTTACGTGGAATTGGCCGTAAGCTTTGCTTAGGTGCTGTATATGTGTCACCTTTATGCAGTAGGTGTTAGAATCCTCATTTAAGGACAAAGACATTGAGGTGCAGAGCAGCTGAGCGGCTTGTCCGCAGATGGAAAGTTCTGAGTGACACCTTCAAGTCCTAAAAGTGGTTTGATCGTACAGTCTCATTTGTGAGCCATCACGTTAGAATTTGGTTCTTGTATTCTCTGTTATTTGATGAATTCTTCCCTATTTCATTTCATTTAAAATTAGTATTAAGAAACAAATTTAAAGAAGGCCGCTTCATAGTGTGTGTGGATATTACTGCATTCTTTTTTAAAGGCTGAGGCGGAGTTCATACTTACAGACTGTTATTACTTCATTAAAAAGAAAATCGCTTTTCCCCCGTTTCTTTCATGCTGACCTCTGTGGTGACAGCGCGTCCCCTGAGGTGATGAGGCGGTTCCTGGTACTGTATGCTACACAGCGAGGACAGGCAAAGGCCATAGCAGAAGAAATATGCGAGCAGGCGGGGGCCCACGGCTTTTCCGCAGATCTTCACTGTATCAGCGAGTCAGAGAAGGTAAGAGTGGATTTCACTGTGCCTTGCGCTTCCCAAGTATTTTGCTTGGGAAGTAGTGCTTGTCAAAGGACGTGATGGTGAATGCCACTGTAATGTTTTTCTAACAGTCTGAAATTCATTTCAGCAACTGTACTGTAGGTTTCCACCAGTGTTTTCTTTGAAACGTAGAAGTGTACGTTTGAATTAGGCTAATCAGTCTCAGAAACGGAAACAAGCAGCTGCTCCTCAGCTGTCCGTGGTGGCCGTGGCGTAGGCCTCCTGTATGTAGCTCACGAGGTGGCCGAGAGAGCACATGAGACAGGTATTTGTGTGCACGTGTGTGCTTTGTACCTCGGGAACCTCGGTGTCCCTCATCGGCTCCCCGAAGACCTCGACGTTCATGTGAGAGCTCCTCCGAGGAAGGGCTGCCACCTAGATTACTTTGTGAGAGAATTTAAAGCAGTGGTATAGTCATCTGAGGAGGATTGGACTGCTTAGGGGCTGAGACTCCTTCTCTGTACATTCAGTACTGCTCTGCAGACATTCCTATGCTGGGTTCTATAAGACCTTAGTAGTTTGTATTTTCTGCTTTGTTGTTGTTGTTTTGTTTTTGTTTTTATTCCAGGATTTTATTCTTGAGATTGAACCCAGGGCTTTCATGCTGCACTCCACCCCCAGTTCACTTTTTATTTTTCGTTTTGAGACAAGTTTTCTTAAACTTACCCAGGCCAAACTTGCAATCCTCCTGCATCAGCCTTCCAGAGTACTAGAATTATCGGTGTGCACCAACATTAAACTTAGCACTGTGTTCTTGTTTGAGTTTGCTGATACTTCTGAGTTGTACTTTTCCAGACAAGTCAGGTGATAACAGCAGGGGCTTTATGCAACCAGATGATAGGCCAGCCACCGAGCAGTCTCAGCTCACTTTGGGACTTGGAAAGCTGGCTTGCCAACGTCCCTTCGTCAGGTTTATCATCCTGTCTGACCTTCACACGTCTCGGTTCCAAAGACGAGACAGTCTGCAGCACAGGTGAATCATATCCCAGGCATCTGCTTCCTCCATGCAGCGCTGCAAGTGTAACTCCAGCTGCGGTCCGGAAAGCAGACTTCCTGGAGGACACTATCTGTCCTCCTATGGGCAGGCGCTGCCGTCGGACAGTGAATTGAAACAAACTTATGTGATGGTACTGTTCGATGGACCACAGCCTGGATCCGTGGCAATGAGCGAGTCCTGTCGTAAGAGTAGTCCCGATCAGTCACTAGCTCGAAAGAAAGGTGAATTTTTTTTTTAAACACCACCACCTTAGCCATGCTGTTAGCTGAGTGGTTTCTGATTGCTTATCACCAAAGTTGAAAAGGTATCTCTGCTTCCTAGTTTGCAGCAGTCCTTTCCACAGAGTACAGAGTTTAGCATGTCACTTGTGTAGTGTCTGAGTGTTTAAGAATGTTAGCTCGAGTTCTTGCCATGTGGGTATGCAGGTGAGGGCTGGGGGTGCAGCTCAGTGCAAAAGCACATACTTAGCCTGTGCAGGGCCCTGGGTTCAGTCCTCAGCTCCACAGAAAGTAAAATGAAACAAAGGGAATGCTTTGGGCCCAAATTAGGTTATGTTCATGGGCAGTAAAATGAGCGGAGTCTTAAGAAATGGTGACTGCCCTATTTTAAGTAAATTTACATAGGAATTAGACGAAAGGCTTGATTTGTGAGACTTGGAAGCACTGAGGATCTGACTTTACGGCCCACTGAACCCCCAGCTCTCTGGAGCCCGGAGGGAATGAGGAGCCATTCTTGATAACCAGGCCCCCGAGAGCTGAGGACTAACACGTTCAGTCTCCCAACTTTGAAAGACCTGTGCGCCTCTGCCGTCGTTTTACATGTGCCGTACAGGGGACTGCGTTTAGCACAAGATTTCACAGCTGCACGGTGTTCAAGTATATTGACATGGAAATGAATTGAAGGGGAATGTTCCCTTTTCTGCCCCCTTGTTGTCATGCTGTTTTCATCCTGGATACTTAAGCGTCTGTTTTCTTTATTTCTTAGTTGTACCCTTCCCTGCTTTTGAGGTCTTTGTGCTTGCTTTTTGACTGTCTTTCGGAGAGGCATTCCCATCATGTTGCCTGCCTTTCCTCCCTGGGAGCTCATTGCAGCTCCTCGAGAGTCCCTCGAGAGTCGTCTGCTCACTGCCCGACCGTTTGCCCTGCACATCGAGCACGCAGTGAATGTCCGGCTCAGGGCACCGTGGCAGAGTCGATTACACCCACCCTGTCCTCTGATTTTTCCTAAAGTGAAGGATCGGACTAGGAGGGAAGCCGGGGCGATGCGCCCTGGCTCTGGGAAACCTCTTGGAGAGAAGGACATGGGCCGTGTTCAACTTGCCTAACCCCTTGATGTGCATCAGCAGAACAAATGTGTGCTTTGCACTGAGCCATGACCTTTGCTGGGCAGCTTGACGGACCAGGCGTAGCCCGTCACTGGACCGGTCATTCTACCAGGCATCTCTAGTGACTCGAAGAAGAGGAAAGTTGGAAGGAGATATAAAACGGAGGGAAGCAAGCTAATGGCTTTGGCTTGCTGCTGTGTTCAGTCACAAATGTGGACGTACAGCGTCAGGTCCCTGACTTGATTTCTTTGTTTCGTAGTACGATCTCAAAGCGGAAACAGCTCCTTTGGTGGTGGTTGTCTCTACCACAGGCACCGGAGACCCACCTGACAGCGCGCGCAAGTTTGTGAAAGAAATATGTGACAAGACACTGCCCACGGATTACTTTGCTCACCTGCGATACGGATTGTTAGGTAAAGGACTATATTTTAAACATTTGTGTCTTTTAGACCCATGAGATGTGAAAGTACGGGTCCTTTTACTTTTTACGTAAATTCTATGTATAAACAAAATGAACAAATGTAAACAGTGTGCTGTCTCGTATAACCGCCCCGCCAGTCTTCGCAGTAAGACCCCTGCAGAACCTGCTGAGAAGCTTCCGTAACCAAGGGTGCCCCTCAGTTCAGCTGTGAAGCATCTTCAAACTGTCTGTGGCAGACTTCACCCCAAAACTGAAACAGAATCCGTGAGGGAAGTGTTTCGTGCCGTTTTATTCTTTTTTTTTTTTCTTTTAAATAAAAGGAGGAAAACATTAACAGACAGACAACCATTTACAAAATAGCAAAATGCAAACAATACAGAGTTACAAACAAAGTGGTAGGAAATTAACAATGCTTGTTGCATTACATATTGATATCTTCAAAGTGGCTTCTCATGAAAACAAAGGGAGACGTGCAGTATTGATCAATCAAGGACTCATTGACAGTTTCTTTCTGCAAAGAAACAGAAGACAGTAGATCAACTATGTTAACTATCCTACATATACATACTTACATAATTTCTCCTTTCCCTTCTCTTTTCCCACATCCCAGTTGCCTTTTACCCTTGAGCGTTTTCCTTTCATTTCACAATGTCTATCTGCTTCATTCTTTATAACAACAGTAACTACAAGCTACAGAAAGCTCCCAGGTCTCTGATCTCTTCTGTGTCCAAGAACCGTGCCTCTAGGGTGGTGGCTTCCCATGCCCAGCTGTACGTCAGGGTTTGCTGGGGGGTTCACAGCTACTTGGCCACCACCGGTCATTCTGACATTCTGACATTCTGAGTAGGGCTGTGACATCGGTATTTTTAAAAGCTCCTTGGTAATTGTAACAGTGCGTCCCAGGTTAAGTGCCCTGGCCAGGGGCTCTGTGGAACACAGTTTAAACTGATGAAGGGAATGAATTGGAAGGACCAGCACAGCAAAATGATGACACCAGAGGGTGTTGAGGCCCTGTTCTTAGCTTGTCGTCCGTATCGTTCACCCTCAGGGATTAGTTTTGGGACACAGCACCTAGCAAGGGTGGGTTGTGCTTTGTTAACTCATCAGAAGCTTCAGTTTGTAACTCTTACTAAGATCTGGCATCAGTAGCATGTCTTGAGTGTATTTATAGTATTTACAAGTTTTTAAACTGAAGTTTTTCTAGTTTCTGTGTTTTCAAGAGTATACACATACTGTTTTGGAAATCCTCAGAACACTTATAAAGACAAGAGTGAAACCCATTCAGTCATTCTGGTCAGTACTGGACCTGTATATGGGCCCTGCAATTTCTCACCCCGTTGTTGGAAAACAACATGGGGTGATGAAACCACTGAGAATCTAGAAATTCCAGTGTTAATTTCCCCCAAGTATGAAACGTTACGGTTTTCTTATCATGAAACGTGGAAGCAAATCCTAATGTACACAACACAGAAACTATTACAGCAGCTGGTGTTTCACCACACTGCCCACTTGGACTCTAGGTCGGGAATTGTAAGTGTTGCAAGGGGCCGGGTCCTAGCGACTTCAGGCTTTGCAGGCTCTGTGGTCTCATCACAGCTGCCTGACTGCTGTTGGAGCTTCAAAAGCACATGAACAGTATGTATATAACCAGAGGTCCCATATTCCAGTGAAACTTCATTTACGAAAACAGTAGTGGACGGTTCAGAGGCTATGGTTGTCACACTCCTGGTAAAGATAGGAAAAGCGTGATACAGAGATGTTGTACATTTTGTTTGGTGTTTTGATGGTGCTCAGGATTGAACTCCAAGACTTTCAGACTGAGCTACATCCCCAGCCGTTTTCATTTTGAGACGGTCTCCTAAAGTCGCTGAGTTGCCCACCCAGCCTGAGCCTGAGCCCGAAGTCCTCTGGCCTCAGTCTCCCAGCATGCAGGGCTTATAGGTATGTGCCACTGCTCTTGGCTGATGCTGTAGCTCTTCAGTCGGTCTCAGATCCTTGTTTTAAGATTTCTGTAGTTTCACACAGGAAACAAAAATGTGGAATGTGTATATTTCTTTGAACAGTGGTCTGTGGTTTCATTCACTGTATCTGGTACTATAAGGTTGTAAAGTAGAAGAAAATAATTTGCATACTTCGTATTACTCAAGGAAAAGAAGAAAATGTGCAGTGGTACACTATTTTGCCCTTGTTAGCAGATCATGAAGTGGCATTGCTTTAGGAACCTGGTGTTGCTTCCCTCTTTTACATTGAAAGCCTCATGTGCACCAATTGTGTATTTGGACCCTAGGTTTGGGTGATTCGGAATACACGTTCTTCTGCAACGGGGGCAAAGTGATCGATAGACGACTGCAGCAGCTTGGCGCCCGGCGTTTCTATGACACTGGCCACGCCGATGACTGTGTCGGGTAAGAGCGGTGCACCACCTCCTGTCCAGGGCGCTGCTGTTTATGCCTGACAAAGGGGAGTTTGAGAAGTGTGTTGGCTCCAGTTCAGCGCTGATGCTTTCTTCCACCTTGAAAGTCACACTGTAGTTTTAAAGCTTTGAGCTCTAGCGCCCAGGAAAATGAGCCAGAGCTTGAGTTACCTCTTTTGCTGATCGTGTTATCTGGCGTTTGCCTGTCTCGCCATTCTGTTTGTTAAGGAGGAGCTGGGAGAGGTGCCCAGGAGCCGTTACCTGAAGGTGTGCAAGCTTTTGTAAAACGCAGCGTCTGCCTGCTGGGCTTTGAGTACATCCCGCTGGATTCGGCTCTTCCTGTGGAGGGCTGCCAGCAGAAGGGCTTCCGTGGGGAAGACACGTCCGTAGGCCCGTGGCCCTTTACTGTCTCGTGGCCATTTGCCGCCATGCTAGCAAAAATATGTCTTTTCTTTCTTTTATTCTTGTTTGTACAAATCAGTGCTTCACCCCCTGGCCACCTTTGAAATCACCCTGCCATGTTTATCAAAGGTCTTACAGGTGTTGTTGTATCATTTGTTCTGTCACTTACCTCTTACTTTTATTTTAGCCAGAAACATCATACACACTTAGGTTTTTTTTTTTCCTACTAAGTGCATTCATCAAGTCAGTTTTCACTCGCTGTGTTAATGAATAATTTCTGTTCACGAAAACAGCAAATCCATAGATTTCTCAATACTCTACCTCTCCCTTCCTCCCCGCACCAGAGCTCCGTGACGGCTCCTCCCCTTATTTTAGTGTTACCTCTTTACTTTGACTTCAGTTTGGCCAGATCCTCATTGATATTAATAAACTATGATTAATCACTAGTATAATACTGTTATTAATCCACTGATTCATCAATTATCCGTATTTCACATCTCTTCTAAAGCTTTTGTTTGCCCATTTATTGGGTCAAATATTAAAATTTTTGAATATATATTGCATTAGATCTTTTCATGAGGCAGGGTCTTGCTATGTAGTTCAGGCTGTCCGCGAACTCATGGCAACCGTCCTGCCTCATTCTCCTGAGTGCTGGATTACAAGCCTGAAGGTCACAGAACCAAGTATCAAAACCTCCTGCACCCACTGACTTGGCTTCTTAACTTTGGGGTTGTGATTTCTCCCTCCAGGAAGCAGATCATAGGAGTGCTCACTGCATAAGTTCTTGCGGATGTTCAGGCTAGCCAGCATGTGTCCGTCTCTTGGAACCATTCCATCCCATGGCGAATGCTCTGGGACTCTTAGCTCTCTTCACTGTTACGGATGTGGTCAAATTACCTTTTCTGAGTTCTGAGAATCATATTTTCAAAGTCACTGTTACTGGACGCATAGTTTTAGTAACCTGTTTGCGTGACGGCCCCTCGGGCTAGATAGACTGTGACCGGACTTTGAGTTGTGGACCACTTGAGCACGATGCAGTTACCGTCTGAGTCCTCGTAAGTGGGAGGTCGGACGTGTGCCTCCTCTTGATGTCAGGTGTGAGGTGGGGGTAACCCCTAGCTGCTGTGGCATGGGGATGGTGGCGGGGTTTGTTCTCGCGCCCAAACACAGCCTTTTCCATGCCTCTGTTTAGCCTTCTCTGTGTGGAGAATGGGGGAGTGCTTCTGTGGAGTTCTGCTTTGTTACTAGTAACCCGAATGCCATAGGTAAGGAATGTATTCATGACTAATTCAGTTCTTCAAAAGGTGCTTGCTTTCTTTTTCTGAGGTCAGAGTCAGCCTCCCTAAAATTTTTACCAAAACTATTGTTAGAACTGATGAAAAGTCTTGAGTTTTTTTTTTATTTAATCAAAACATTTGGTATCAATCCAGAATGATTTCATGATAATATTTTCATCTGTAGGAAAAGGATCAGCAAATTAAACAAAAAAGATGATATCTCTGACGGACACATGGGTTATTTGCCCCATCGGAGCAGCCTTGGCTTTGCTAGGTTCTGTTAGCTTCGTCAGCATTTAGCATTGCTCTTTCAGACTATAGCTTCTCAAAATGAAGATTGTCAACTCCTTTAGGAAAGTGAGAGGAATTGCAATTCCCATTGTCTTACTATTAAAATACCTCACATTTCACTTGATTTCTTTGACCTGTAGGCATGCTCCTATTATTTACTTTTTTCTTACTTTATGGAAAAAAAGTAAAACAAAATTTCATAACAAAACAAGAATAACAATAGTTAATACATCGAATATTGTTATCTTTAAAGTAGTTAAATCAGAGTACGAGGTATGGGCATAAAAGATTCTCCCAATGACGTTAGCACAAACATTTGATCTCAATGAACCAAGAGAAACTAGTAGTATAACTGTCTTGTATTTTGTGTTCTTTCCTTTTCTCTTCCTTCCTTCCCCTTTCCCCTGTCCTAGTTCCTTATTGCTTTTGACCAAGTTCATTATGTAGAGCTGCAGTGTTAGTGAACACATGGTAATGTTCTGCTGTTTGGGTCTTCATCATTCATCCTTTTCAGTTTTTATTTCGTATTAGTCTGTGTTTGCAGGACATAATAATTACATTCCTCCTGGGAAGTATAAAGGATCCAATCAAAAAGTGGCCACCTGAAAGGAATAGACGCAAGGAGAAGCGGTACCGTGGTCAACAGATGTCTGAAAAAACATTCCACATCACTGGCCGTTAGAGAGATGCAAATTAAAGCAACGCTGAGATTCGGTCTCTCTCCTGAAAGAACGGCCATCGTCAGAAAATCAAACATTAACAAAGGCTGGCGAGGCAGTGGGGAAAAGGAACCTGTCCTCCTGCTGGGGGCTGTAAACTAGCACGGCCACCACTGAATCAGTGCGGAGGTTCCTCGTTCATAAGTCGCAGTGTTGCTCACGGTCGCTTACAGCATTCTGCTGAATGGGTGTCCTCTGACATTGTCCCATTGTGTGTTTTTCCTTTTTCATTGCATCCCAGCTTGGAGCTGGTGGTTGAGCCGTGGATTGCTGGACTCTGGGCCGCTCTCACAGAGCACTTTAGGTCAAGGGAAGGACGACGGGAGAACGGGGCCCCAAGGGCGCCCAACACCTCATTGACTGCAGAGGCCATGAAGCCAGAGTCACTCCATATTGAATCTCAAATGGGACTTCTGACGTTGAATGATGCAAGAGGAAAGGGTTCTGAAGTTGTGGCCCAGAATGAGCCAAGTAGAGGTCAGTCAAGGGCGGCGATCGAGGACTTGGAATCCTCGCTGATCTGCTCGGTGCCCCCGCTCTCACAAGCCTCTTTGAGTGTTCCTGCTGCTCCCGCAGCGTATTTACAGGTGCACCTGCAGGAGCCCCCCGGCCAGGTGAGCGCTTCGATTACACTGTGTAAAGTTACCTAACCATGGCTGTTGGCTTTGGTTTTCTGTTTGTTGGCTTGTTTGCTTGGGATTTTTTGCTTCTGTCACATTTGGATAAAGGTGGGCAAATGGTGAGGCCCTAGCCAAATGTGACCCATTGTCCCTCAACTATAAATAAATGTGATTAGCACACAGCCAGGCCTAGTTTTTTCGCAGTATCTGTGTGCACTTTTGAGCTCCAGTTGCAAAGCGGAGTGACTACCCCAGAGGCTTGTGAAGCCAGAGGCACTTCCTGTCTGGCCCTTGCTGGAGACGAAGCCCGTCCATGTGTGACAGAGTGGCTTGTGTTGCTGCTGGGACATCCCTAATCTGAAAATCCAACATGTTCTGAAATTGGAGTTTTTGAGTGTGGGTGCGATGCCACAGCTAGAACGTTACATCCCTGTGCCAGTCCGTGCTCTGTCACTGTGACGCAATGCCTGAGAAAGTCAACCTACAGGCAGAGTGGTTTACACTGGTTCACAGCCTCAGAGCCCTCAGGCCTTGGTCCCTTGGCGCTGTGGCTCCTCAGGGCATGGGGACACGGGTATTGGGGCAGAGCGGCTGACCTCACAGCGCCCGGGAAGCAGGGAGAGTGGGGACGGGGACAGGGACCCAGTACACCCTTGGAATCCCATCCCAGTGACCTTCTTCCCCAGCTCGGCCCCACTGTCCCATAATGGGACAATGCCCACCACCTGCCCGCAGCACCCTGTGAAGAGTGGGTCAGCCGTTCGTGGGGTCAGAGCCCTCCTGACCCAGTCCTGTCCTGAAGGCCCCCCTCTGTCCACGCTGCACGCTGGACGTGGGCTTTCAGAGGATGTTTTAGGACCCAAAGTGTAGCCGTGCTGGCCTGCCACGAGGGGCTGTGGTCACCGTGCGGAGCACTGAGAGAGGAAGTGGTGCTGTGTAATAGACAAAGAGTTTTAAATGTGCGTGAGCCGCGCTTCTATAGAGAGATCTGTGCATCTCCCCGTCCACCTTGGGGATGAGCAGTCAGTGTCCAGGAAGCTCTACAGGCGCTTACAGATCCGCACAGCCACTAAGCGAAGGAACGGTACAGTCGCAAGTTGCATTGCCACTGCATTTTGTCACGTTTGTCGCTCAAGGGGGAACGTCAAGCCTCTGTGACTTCCGCGGAGCCCGTCTTTCAAGTTCCAATTTCAAAGGCGGTTCGGCTGACTACGAGCGATGCCGTAAAAACCACTCTGCTGCTGGAGCTGGACATTTCTGTGAGTCCCAGATTCGCCTCTCGCAGTTACACCGTAGGACGCCTGTGGGGCCTGTGTGGTGCTTCGTCTCTGCTGGGACGTGTGCCCATTTCGTGCTTGACCATCGATTCTCCGTCTCACCTCGCGCAGCTGGCCAGCCCGTGAGCTGAGTTTCCCTCTGGGGAGAGGAGTGTGAGCGAGCACCCCGCCTGCCACTCCTGCTCCCTGATAGAGAGGAGCGCAGCAAGCAGAGAAACTGAAAACGAATGCACGGGCCTTAAGGAGCGTCTTTAGCCCGTAGTGTGTGTGCACTCTTGTGTGTGTGAAGGCTTCCTAAGAACTTTTGCATAGATCACTTAAAACATCACTAGACGTGCTCTGCAGACAGGGAGGGAGGTCTCTGTCCCTCCCTGTAAACATGCAGTGCTAGAAGGCCCTAGAGTACACTGCGTAATTGCCGGGTTTCTTGTCTAAAGTAACTCCTGATAAACTTTATGATTGGAGTAACTGGGCAGACGCATTAGTTTATTTTTCTGCGGTTAGAATTCTTTTCTTGTGTGTTTTGTCTCCGTTGGTTTCATTAGCTCGTGGTTGTGGAATGTCCGGGTGCATTCACTGTGGGGAGCTGGTGCATGTGCATACTACATTTCATTCTTTTTGTAAAATTTTTTTTCAGTTCTCGTATTAAAATGGTCATAGTGAAAACTGTGTCCTTGTTATTTACAACTCAGACACACAGCATTCCTTCACTTTGGTTCTTCTCTAGAAAACAGATTTCTCCTATCAGCCTGGTGATGCCTTCAATGTGATCTGTCCAAACAGCGACTCTGAGGTGCAGGACCTGCTCCAAAGACTGCAGCTCGCAGACCAGCGAGAGCACCACGTCCTCCTGCAGATCAAGGCCGACACCAAGAAGAAAGGTACGCGGGTGCTGGACGCGGTGGGGGCACGGGTCCCTGGCCTGGAGCTTCCTAGTGCGAGCGCCCCAAGCTGACTCAGTCGCCAGGGAGTGGCTGTGCAGGGGCCGGGCTCAGCCACCCATGGGGGGTCGGAGGCGCCCACGGCGTTGCCAGGTAACTGCACTGAGTGAGGTAAGGGCCGATTTCATACCTATTAGGTACTTGCGGATGTGGAAAGAGAATAGAAACAACGTTTGTGCACCAATGGGCCAGGACCATTTTAGAAAATGATTGTTCTGTTGTATTTACTTCTATTATTGCTTTTATTATATAAAAATAACTGCTTTCCCCACAATTGAAATGTTATTTATTTTTTAAAACATTCAAGCATATTGGTTATTTTTCTTACAGTCTTGAACTTGAATTCAGTCCTAACGTACTTTCTGAGAATAGTGATATTCTAAAGGAGCGCTGCCATTGTTTTTTTAGATAATTTTGCATTCTTTCATTTGGCAAGCCTTGAATTTATAATTCTTTCATTTTTTAGTGAAAGGGTTTTTCTTCTGTATTCATGTTGGGGGGATTTTTTGGCTGATAAATATTGCCGCAAAGCGTTATACTTCAGTAGGCATTGTAGCATGGGTGTTCGCTGTACTTTGGGGAGTGCAGAGCATGTTCCCGGATATGTTCTGTGCTGACGCTTCGTTGCATATGTGTCATGAACGTCTTTCCTGTGTTTCCCGGAAAGGAGCCGCCCTACCCAAGCACATCCCTGAGAGCTGTTCTCTCCAGTTCATTTTTACTTGGTGTCTTGACATACGAGCAGTTCCAAAAAAGGTATTTTCTTGTCTGTGTGCGTAACTGTTTGAAAGTATGCATATCTCTGTGTAGGATTTCTTTTAAGTAGACCTAGCATCTGCCTTTTGAATCCTTAGAAAGTAAAATCTTTATAGCACATTTTAAAAATTAGTTCCCAGGGATATATTGTGTCTTTATAATTGTCATAATCAAATATTTTTATGTTGTGTTTATATGGAAATTTTTGTTTTCCATTAAAACGAAATTTATATTATTATTATTATTATTATTTTTTTTAATGTATGTGGTGCTGGGGATCGAACCCAAGGCCTTGTGTGTGCAAGGCAAGAGCTCTACCACTGAGCCACATCCCCAGCCTCTAAAATGAAATTTATAAAATTGATCCTTTTCTTAATCTTTTTTATCCGGACATTGTCTTTACGTAGCATATTAAGCAGTGATGCAATCCTGTGCTATCCAAGGACACATTGCCAGTTTTTTCTCACTGAGGACGGGAAGATTGTGAGACTTTGGGGTCCCCCATGCACACGTACGCTTGGCCGCTTCCTGAGTTAGTTAGATCACTTTTGCGTAATGCTGTATGATTCCTTAAGGTGAATCAGAATTCTTTAGGAAGCATTGAAGATTTTGGTGGGTTATATTGGTATTTAGATGAATTCAGAGACACAGCAGTCCACTAGAGGGCAGTATTATCCCACGAAGAATATTTTCTTGAAACTGATTTCTTTAACAATCTCCCTCAAGTGGACACTACTGGACACGTTTCCCGAGGTGTGCCTTGCCAAACTGCTGTCAGTGCGTGTGCAGAGTGGAGAGTGCTGTAGTGAGGCTACCCTTGCCCTAATGTAGCTTTTGTTCTTTTTTTGTAATTTTTTTTCTAGTTTTGGGAATACAAACCAAGTCCTAGATATGATTTGAGTAAATTTAGGATTATATATTTCTTACTGCAAAATAATGTGCTCATTATAGAAATTATAGATATAAAAAATAAGTAGCTCAGGAAGTAAAAGTTTTTGATGCTCAAACCCTGAGTTTATGTTGTGAATCCTATAGTTTATAACTTGTCCTTTTTACTTAAAATGAACGCAAATCTGTGTATTTCAATATGGAAAGAGTTAAGATATTTTAATAGATGCCACTATGATTAATTTATTTATGTAATCATGGGCAGTGGGGTTGTTCTGAGTTTTACACTGTGGAAAGAATGTCTAATATTAATTTTTGCACCTTGCTTGAAATTGTTTAAAGTGGGTTAGTAAATTCCTTGCACTAGAATTACTACTTAAAAAATATTTACAGTTTAAAGGGTAGTAACGTTTGTATTCTCTGCCAGGTTGTTCTCTAAAAGTAAATGTGTTCTATTTTAGGACCATAAAGTTTCTGTAGATCTAAAGTAAAAATTATCTTGAAGTGTTTATAATTGCCATTGTTTTAACCTGTAGTTGAAGAGATTCCGACTTTAGAATTCACAGGTTGTCACTGGCAAACACGTTGTCAGCTCGCCTGACCCAGGCCGTGATTTGGGCGCCGGTCTGTGACTGGTGCATTGATTTCCTTAGGGCGTGTTTCAGTTCAGCACTGGGCTTGGCGCTTGGAGAAATGCGTGTAACTTGCTGGTCTCCGGATATTTGAGGGAGAGCTCTTAGTAGTTGCGCTGCAGGCAAAATGATGAGCACGTTTGGTGTTTTATCCAGGAGTGTGGACTCGGTTCTGTTTTTGAGAGACTTCATTGTTTTTCTTTCTTTGTTTCTAATGCCCTCTTTCCACGCTGAGTCTGAGATGACCGAGAGTCCCTGCGCAGGTGGACCCTTCGTGTTCTGGGCCCTGCCCGTCCCTCCCACCTTCGTCCCTGCTTCCCTGTCTGTGTTCGGCCGCACGCGTCCGGGAGCACCGTGCTGGCCTGCTCCCTGCCCTCACGCCTCCCCGCACCATCTGTGTGGACAGCCACTTCCTACTTCCGGGGTCTGGCTTCCGGCTCAGCTTGCTTGCTGGGAAGCCCGGGGCTCGCTGGGACGCCCCTCTGTCCCCCTGTGCCCCGGTGCACACTGACTGCTCGTTTTCTCCTGGTGTCGCGCCAGCCTGTGCACCTTAATTGTCAAATGCGGGGGCCACCTGGTCCCCGTGCCTCATCGCCCAGTGTCTGGCTGGTAGACACACGTCACAGTGCCAAGTACCTGCCAAGGGGGTGGACGGTAATCGTCTGGTAAGACAGGAAGTGTGCGGTCCGAGTTGGGCTGTGAGACTCTGTGACCGTGCTGTCATCTGCCTGCTGCCATTTGAGACCATCCTGGTGACTGACGAGGCTGCTTAGATTAGAAGGAAAGGGACTGGAGCTAGAACACAAAAGTAGAATTTTGCTAGCAGGCCGGCACTACGCAGAGAGAGAATCGCATCTATCTTCCTGACAACGCCCGCAGCGGCCCCCTCTGTTCCTTTGGGTAACCGAGCCCTGTCCCCAGGCAGACTCTAACCAGATGTTCCCTGTGTTTGTTTTGTTTTTTGCTGTCAGTGGAGGGGACTCGGGCCTCTTCATGCTAGGCCCGAGCTCTGCCCCTGAGCTGCTCCCCAGCCCCGAACTCAGTAGCGCTGACCACGAAGTGGTTTTGTCACCGAAGTCGGCTTCCTTTCCAGGCATTTGTGCGAGCCCTCGTGGACTACACCAGCGACGGTCCTGAAAAGCGGCGGCTGCAGGAGCTATGCAGTAAACAAGGAGCTGTTGATTACAACCGGTTCATCCGGGATGCCTGTGTGTGCCTACTGGACCTGCTCCTGGCCTTCCCGTCCTGTCAGCCGCCGCTCGGCGTCCTGCTCGGTGAGTTGTCGCTGTCACAGCCGCCCCGTGCTTCCCGCACCGGCACCTGGCAGGTCAGGACACATGGGGTGGGCGTGTGTGCAGGGGAATGGTGATTGCGCGGGAAACATCCTGAGTCCTGCTTTCCAGGTGCTTCTTGTGCTCTAGAAGCCAGAGAACCCCTTCAGGCTTTTTGGTTTTTCTTACGAGGTCCTGCCAAATTTTGTGTACATATGTGAGCTTTCTAAGAAAGAACGATCTTTGTGAAAGACAGTGCCAGATCTGATTGACAGCAGTAACCACCGTATGCAGAAATATCTCCACTGAGCAAGTCCCTATTGAGGACCCTTCGGGAGCACGAGGGGCCTCTGTGTCACACTGGTACAGATGGATGAACTGGGGTACTTGGAGGCGGACCCCACCCCAGAATACTGCGAATGAGAGGAAATCCAGCATGGTGTCCACACCGACTCTTGGGGTGCTCGCATCCCGACAGAAGAGACGCTAGCGTCTTCCCTGAGCATCTTGATGACGCCTAGGCGTGTCATTTCCTCAGATCTGTTTTCCTATCGTGTAAGGAGTCAAGGCTTTGATGTTCGCGCGTGTCTTTGGTGACACTGAAATGTTTCTCTTTCTTGTAGGTCAGTAGGACTGTCTTGGTGCCCATAGAGGGCACGCTCCTTTGCAAGTCAGGTCCTCATTTCTTCTCCTCTTTATTTCTTAGTGTTCTTGTCTCTTTTGTCCTTCCCCAAACGGCGAAACCGCATTGCTGGGTGAAGCTGACCTCCCCCGTTGGTCCTTCCCTGGGGCCGGCGCCTGGGCTTCTCAGTTCAGTCAGTGGGGGGTGCTGGGGTCGGGGCCCAGATGAGGAGGCTAAATCAAGTCTTGGAAAGTTCTTGAGCCGTGTGAATGTTTCAGCATTTTAGGGATTTGTTTGTAGATTCCTATTATCTTTTTAAGCATTTATAGAAATAGCGTTTATCACATGGTTATATAAGAAAGACATTGGGACCTATAAAAATTTAAATGATTAAGGTGAACCCTTTACTAAACCTTATTCAAATACATATTAAAACTTCAAGCTATTTTAGATACTTTCAAATTTTTGCTTAAGTAACTATTCGAAGTATACTACACATAAAAATTCCAGTTGTCCCAGCTGTCCTTGTGTGTACATATATATGTTTTCCCTTCCTTTTTTCTTTCTTTTTTTCCTTTCCCTCATCCCAGTTGTTTCTTCTTTTGAGCAGTTTCTTTCCCTTTCTTAATATCTGTTGTACATTTTGGGTTGCATTTTGCTGGTTTTTTAAATTCTCTTTAAAATAAAATTTAAGGGGCTGGGAATTTAGCTCAGCGGCAAAGCGCCTGCCTGGCAAGCGCAAGGTCATGAGTTCGATTCCTGGTACCAGAACAAAAACCAAAAAAAAAAAAAAAACTAAAATAAAATTTAAGAAAAGAAAAATGCTAAAGCTTGTTAATGAGTGATTCAAGTATTGATAACTTAAATTGTTTCTACGAGAGCACCTATGCATTTTGGAAACTACTAGGCTTCAGGATAATTTGGTTTAGAAATCACTACCACAAGGCACATTCTTTTTAACTTATTACATGACTGTAAGAAGAAATATTTTTTGCCCCTGTGTATTTCCAATAATCCTTAAAATAATGGTCTTTAATCTTGTTAAGGTTGTGATTTTATTTGAAAACTGGACGTTTGCAGGAAGTCGCACACCCATGTACAGGTTGAATGAGTGTCCTGACTCCGAAGTGCGTGCGAGAGCCCTGCTCTAGTGTCTTGGTTTATGAAGCTCAGTGTTTAGGTAGAAGTTCTGATTTCAGAGTAAGACAAAGCGTGTCTGGCTTTTAACGTCAGGAAGTGGAGGAAAAAATTAGAAATATTTTACTTAGACACAATGAGTTCATATGTAGCATGAAAAGCAGGGTTAAACACTAGAGGATAATTTAGATTTCTAAGTAAGAAAAGACGGTCACATTTAGGCCTTGGAGTTTTTTGTCTTTGTCTATGCAGTTGTGTTTGGCACTAGTAAATTAATGCTTGCTTATTTTTTTTCCTAGAACATCTTCCTAAGCTCCAGCCCAGGCCGTATTCTTGTGCAAGGTGCTGCTGTTCTCGAACCTAACGGGAAGCATCTTTCCCCCCGCATCTTAGAGAGTGACTTCTGGGTCCTTCATAACCACGTGTGTGATTTGTGGAAGGTGCCAGGCGCGGTCAGTGTGAAGAAGAGAAGCTGCGAGCGCCCTGTCCTCCAGCGCGTCGTAGAGTTGGGGTCCTGGGTGGCTCCCCTCTTCCAAAACTGGCCCCCACTCAGGGCAGCTGGCCTTGAGGTCGTCCAGCAGCTTGGGTGGAGGAGGGGGAGGACCTGGGCGCTCTGCTGGGAGCACCAGGCCCCCCCCGGGACTGCCTGCCCGGTGTGCCCCTTCCCCATCTCCTCGCGCCCCCCTTCCTCAGCCGTGGGGCCAGGAAGCACCCGGGGAGGGCTGAGCGCGTTCTTTACTCTCGTGAAGCATGTAAAAAACAGGTAGAAACATCTGCTAAGATTCTTCTCTTAGTGAGTTCTTAGTTTTCTGAGTACATTACTTCAGTTACTTGCACATTTTAGCTTAATAACTACTATATGGGCTATTTCACAGGATTTATTTCTGTCCTTTCACGGGATGAAAGGTCTTTATAAATATTGAGTCTTACTCAGAGAACCTTAGGGCGTGTCTGTTTTTATAAATCTCACCTAGTATTGAAGCAAATAAAACAGGATGTTTTCCTGAATGCTATCACAAATTGGGCAGGAGATGAAGGGGTAAAATAAGTAAGGTTGCTTTTCTCTGAGGACGTGGGAGGTAGGTGAGAGCCCACTGGGAGCTCTTCCCTCACTGTAATAGAGACATGATTCTTGAGCCCATATGTGTTGGTCCTGACGTAGAACTCAAAATGTGTCTCCCTGTGTCTCCGCAGCTCCAGTTTGTTCCACCCAGGCAAGCTTCATTTCATCTTCAGTGTTGTGGAGTTCCTGTCCCACACCCCCGCGGGGGTGAGGCTGCGGAAGGGTGTGTGCACGGGTTGGCTGGCCGGCTTGGTCGCCTCATTCCTTCAGCCAGAGTCGCAGGCGTCACCTGCAGACAGCGGGACAGCCCAGGCTCCCGAGGTACGACGGGCACGCGCCGCGCAGCTTTGTCAGCGCTGCTGAGCTGGCCTGACGAGGAGAAGCAGTGGCAGCCCCTGCCCTGTGCCTTGCACTTGCAGTTACACCATTCCAGAGAAAATGCACGTTGTACCTGGATTTCTGAAATCTCTGCGGGAAGGTCGGAGAGGCAGTACTTCCTTTCACTCACTGGAAACTAGCCCACACGCCCTAAGTGTGTGGGGCATTAGCTTTCTGTAACCAGCCTTTGCTGGCTTGCGTGCTGACACTGACGTTTGGAGTGGCCGCTCTCCGCTTGCCCGTTACTTCCTTGCCCACTTAATTTTGCCCACACGGTTGCCCCTCCCTCTGGCGGCGTCTGTTGCCTTCTACACTTCCCCCACTTGAGTGTAAGCTTCCTGAAGACGAGGACCTTGATTTGTTCGTTTCTGTCTCTAGTGTTGGCCATACTGAGACCTGTCAGTAACAATGTCAGATGAGTGACTCAAGTGAGTCAGGCTAATTAATATTAGTCACCATTTCATCCAGAGAGGGAGGGACTAGACACAGCTCTGTTCAGCCTCTTCGTGAAGATGTTGAATTTTACTAAACACATGCACAGTTCTGCCCCCATGGGGGTGTGTGGAACCCTGTTCTTCCTGGCCCTTGGTGTGGCGCAGGCATAGAATGGAGTGGAGCTGGAAGTGTGACCCTCATCTTACTTCCTCTGAGCATCCTTGCACATGATTTGCGGGAAAAATCTTCGGAAATTTTAACAAAAAGATCTTAACTGTATCACTTACGCACCTAGCTTTACACAGGCGAATGCTTCCGGGTAGTAGTATACACCTAACGGCAAGGACAGCTCTCCTGTCTGGAGTCCCTGGGGGAGCCCCGCAGTTGCTGTGTTTGGTTCCCTTGCTTTCATTTCAAACTTTGAGCCCCACCTTGGTTCATCTCTGTTGGCTCTGTGTGCGCAGACGTGAAGAATTGTCTTTTTGTGCATTTCTTTGTAGTATACATGATTTGCTGCCTGTAGAAAGCACATATCATCCTCGGACCTAGGAAAATACTTCATGATGTGTTCATTGTTCTCAGTAATACCATGCCGGTTACTTTAAAAACTTTTCGGGAAGGGCAGTAAAAGAAATTTTTAAGGCAAACCTCTCTCCACAGTGACAGGTGCGTTCACAGTTTCTGTCAGCTCTAAGGCTGCTGTTGGATTTAACGCTGCTTCTCTGACCAGCGTTTGCATTCCTCCGTTCTTAGCAGGTCTCAGCCTGGTTCTGAGCTCTTGCCGAGGTTTTCATTCAGACTTGTCACAGGCGGCTTCATTTTGCAGATCTGCATCTGTCCTCGAGCAGCCAGCTCCTTCCACCTCCCGGACGACCCTTCGGCCCCCGTCATCATGGTGGGTCCGGGAGCCGGCGTCGCGCCCTTTATCAGCTTCCTGCAGCATAGGTACGTGCTTGCTTCGGTTCGCGGGGAAAGTGCCGCGTGTAATCCCGGGGGAAATGTCACAGCCTTTTCCCCAGTTGTTTTTAGAATAATTGGTCTTCGGTTGTAAATTTTTATTTGAAAAAATGGTTACCAAACATCACCATGGGGAAAATAGACACAGTATGTTTCCAGTGTTGTGCTTTATGCTGGAGCTTCTTTATGTACCGTGGCATATTCCTCAGCTGCACTGAGGTTTATGACATACATAGCTGGGGACAGACTGCAGGCCTGTGTTCATGCTGTGAGGAGGCGCAGCTGTTGCGTTTATTCCTTAGGGGGATAAAGTTGATAATAACAGAGATCGAGTTGTACCGAAAGGTTCAGAGTAGAAGCCCAGACATCAGTGATTTGAACATGACATTAACATGAGTGATACTAACGGTATTAGTAGATATAACAGAACTGCCTGTTGTAAGATAAATCAATCACGCTTCTCCGTGCTTGTGAACAAATTTTACACTGTTTCCCAGATAGTGGGGTCTTTTGTTTCTTTTCATTTTTTTCTTAAGGAAGGAAAAGCACAGTGATAAATGTAGTCTGTCTCATTGGTGTGTTTATCATTTCATAAATACTTTTATGCATTCCACCTATTACAGGCTGTGCTGCTTCTCCAATTTTATGAATAGGTGTTACCTTGTCCACAAAATTGTTGCCAATATTACTTGACATAGAAATCACTCTAGGTTTCACAATGTGATGTTTTTATTGTCCTTGCTGTGTAAATTTTATATGAACTCAGGGAAGTCCACAGCTCCTAGATGTGCCTACTGATTGTGTTGTATGTGGGGTGATTGTGACAGCCTCTGCAGCCGTAGTAAACTGCTGTGTTGGTTGTCTCTCCACAACTGTAATGGAGCTCACAGCTCTCCATGACCGTGAGGAAATATCTGAGCCTGGGTTTTGTGGCTTACAGCTTTGGAGGGTCCGGTTCATCATCAGCTGGCTCTGTTGCTTTGGGCCATGACGAGCCAGTGTGTTGTGGCAGGAGACTGCAAAGCAAGACTCTTACCTCATGTCCAGGAAGCAAATGAGGAAGAGGAAGGGGCCGGGACACCCAGGGGCACACCTCCCGGCCACCTAGAGACTCCCTACTAGTCCCGACCCCATGAACGTTATACTGCCTTTCAGTAATGCCACCCTGGCCTGTGACCCTTGCAGTGCAGGACCGTTGGAGGGTACTCAAGACCCTTCCAGCTCGGGGGCACAGTGCTTGCTCGCTTGCTTTGCGTGTGCCGGGCCCTGGTTCCGTCCTCAGTCCCACACACACATACAGACACACGTAAATAAGATAAAAAGGATTCTAATCTTAGCAAATGTTACCTACACGCATGAACTTTCAAGGACTCTAAACATGGATTCTACAAACCTTAGTTTGTTGTGGTTTCCTGATCAAAGAGGTTTGCTTTACATTACTTTAACATATTCTCCATATCATATATATCACCCTTCTTTTCCTCTAGAGAGAAACTCCAAGAGCAGCACCCGGATGGAAATTTTGGAGCCATGTGGTTGTTTTTTGGCTGTAGACATGAGGAGAGGGACTACCTGTTCAGGTACCATCCAGGGCTGCTGTTCTACTGCAGACCACTGAGTGTGCGGTTTTAAAGTTCAGACTTTTTCACCTTTAACAACCTTCCCGTGACCCATGGCGTGCTATGTTTCAGAGACGAGCTCAGGCATTTCCTCGAGCATGGGATCCTGACTCACCTGAAGGTCTCCTTTTCAAGAGATGCCCCTCGAGGGGAGGAGAAGGTCCCAGCGAAGTACGTGCAAGACAGCCTCCGGCTGCACAGCCAGCAGGTGGCGAGGGTCCTCCTCCGCGAGAACGGCTGCATTTATGTGTGTGGGTGAGTGGCCTGCTGCCTCAGCGCCCCATGGGGGAAGACACCTGACGATGTTTATAAAAGAAGGAGACCCACAGCCCGGTAATCTAGATACACAGGAAGAGCCGAGGTGGGGATTGCGGGAGCTGGATTTGTGCACTGAGGGTTTGGAAGACTCCTGTTTTGTAAAAGGGGATCTTACTTTCTTTTTTAGAGATGCAAAAAATATGGCCAAGGATGTCAATGACAGCCTTGTGGAAATAATATGCAAAGAGCTTGGAGCTGACAAACTAGAAGCAAAGAAAACGTTGGCTACTTTAAAAGAAGAAAAACGTTATCTTCAGGATATTTGGTGATAAAACCAGAAAATGAAGGAAAAGAAATAAGCCTTTTTCACTGAAGATACTAAACCACAGTTTTACTGAAACTGAGATTTAAATCTTTTTAAATTTTCTTTTAACATTTTTGGGAGCCCCAGAGAGGAGCAGGTCACTGAACAGCCTGGCACACTTCCTGATGCGATTTCATCTGCCTCTCCCGCTCCCTGCCCGTGCCTGTGACCCTCGCTGAGGTGCCTGTGAGCACAGGGGCGGCTTCCAGCTCACCGGCAGGTCGTCAGGCGTAGAGGACTTGGGAGGCCTCATCCGGTTTTGTGCCGCGTAGCCTGAGGAGCCTTCCGGTAGGATACTCGTGCGGGTGCCGATGGGCTGCCGTGGGCTGGGTGTGCAGCTCTTGTGAACTTATCTTGCCAATATATTCTTAAAATAATGTGATGGTCCTATATGTTTTGTATGATGTATATTCATAAAGAATATCCACATTGATTTATGGAAATTACTCATGTAGAACCTACCTGTTGCATATTTATATAACTATCAAATAGTTATTACCAAAACTATTTCTGATAAAAATAATTTTAAATTAATCTGTAAGAATTTTTATGCAATTAAAGCTGTGAAATATATTTTGAAATTCTGCTCTGGCTTATTTTTTTTTTAATCACTTTTTAAATATCACAAGCCCAGAGTTTAAGAATACTTCCATTCAACTGCAGATTCCAGGAGGGAACATTCTCGTAAAGATTCACGTGTTTCTTCTTCCTCCCCAGCTCCTTTCATTTCTGTTCCTCCCTAGCAAATCTCTTTCTCTCAGAGGCTTCTGGTAATTCTGAGAAATAAAGAACTGAAAAAAAAATGACACAATTCAAGAGTTGATAAGGCTTTTTGGCCATTGATAAGGCTTTTTGGCCATTTGTTCTTCAGCCTTACATATTTCATTCTAGTTCTTTCAGTATAATAGAAGTAATCTAAAAATGGGTGAGGTAAACACCCAGCACATACTATGTTACATATATAATTGCATGCATAGGTTGTATATATCAAAAAAGAGAAACTTGAGATAAAACATTAAAGGGACAGACAACAGTTTTCTATAGCAACGACTGTAACAAGAAGATAAAACAATCAGGAATTCTTGTCCACCTGCCAGTATTGTCTAGAAATACATGGCTCAAAACTGATAGATCCATAAGGAGAAACTGACCCAAGCCATTTCTTCACACACAACATCCAGGTTATTTGTAGACCCTGTTAGCTAGCAAGCTGTAGGTGGTTTTGATCAACAGATCCCTGCGGTCTTACCAGCTGGTGACAGTGAAAATGGGTTTTAGTTTGAATGTTACCACACAGATGTTTTGAAACAGTTGTTCAAGACTGACCGACTGTTCTGGGGTAAGGTTTTGCTCCTGTTATCACAGTGCACCTGCCCTTGGCTCTAACGCGGGTAGACAGTGCTGCTGTAGAGGTGAGATTCAGGCCTGGGTCCTTGAAGACCTTGTGTATGTAAGGTGGGGAGTGCTTTACATTACTCTGTCCAACTTCCAACTTCCATATATTAAACCCCGCACGTGTTAGAAGTGAGCTTTCTAATAAGCCCCCACCGCATCCGTGGTTTTCAGTAATTTTCCTAAGAGTTTAGGTGTCATTGTGAGCAAGCCAGATGATACAAGTGTACCTCCGGCAAACGGCACCATGGCTGATTCCTCAAGCCCTTGGAACAGTTTTATTTTATTTGTTTTTTTGAAACATTTTTGAAAGTTGATCATGAGCTAAGCCATAAAGGTAGACTCAACAAATTGCATTACATAAGGCACTTTTCACTGACTCTAATAAGTCAACCATAGACCCACAAAATCCACAGTGAAGAATTTTAAACATCTAAAAATGTGATTATCATTTGAAAGAAACCGTAGAACCGGGCTTTACAATGTCTTCAGGCAAAGGGAGAAGCCACCAGAAGCCCTGAGACAGGTTAGAGCAGCAGGCGAAGGAGCAGTGCGTCTGGAGCAGAGACAGGTGAGTCAGCCCTGGGCAGGGAAGAAACAGCTCTGATGATGCCTCGCCGGCCAGGGTGGCGCTGGAGGGTTTGGCTTTCACTCCGGAAGAGTAGGAAGCCGCTGGATCACGGGAGCAGAGTGATCTACCCTGACATTCCTGAGGGCTTGCCGTGGCCATTAGAGTTAGTTGAGAGTAAAGGGAGGGGGCCGAGGAGAGAGGCAGGAAAGCCACTTAGAGGACTGAGGTCATGCTACAGATTAGATCATCCAGTCCAGCTCAAGAGCTAGACACAAGCCAGTGTCTTGGTTACCGTTCTGTCATTGCTGGGACAAAACACCCGACACCCAAAGAGGAAAAGGTTTATTTAGCTTGCAGAGTGTGGAGGTTTCAGTCCATAATCAGCTGGCTCCAAGGCAGGGTGGCTTGGCAGAGGGGCAATAGTTCAAGGCGGCAAAAGACAGCAAGAGCAGCAGGAGCAAAATGGAAAGAGAGCAAGCCTCTTTTCCTCCCTTATGTTGTAAGCAGGCTACCCGCCCCCCCCCCCCGCCCCCGGGGGCTGTAGCACTGACACTGGTCTCTGCGCCCTTCTCTTGCGGAGGATGAGGATGTTCACAAAGGGAGGACCTTGGCCCCCTGCTGAGTCACTTGGTTAACTTGTGAACTTCTCAAGTTGACGCAGTGTATCAAGCATTACGACCACTATCAAGCTGGACAAATTATGGAAGGTGCAGGGAATCTCTCAGGAATGCCTGCGCTGCTTGTGTCAGGAACCTTTCCATGGCTGTGACACAATGCCCAAGGATAGCAGTTTCCGACACTCCATGCCGTGGTCAGCTGGCTGCACTGATTTTAGGTGCATGGCAGGAGGCAGAACACAGAGGTAGAAGGGCATGGTAAGGAAGGGTGCTCGCCTCATGGCAGCCCGGAAGCAGAGAGAACCGGGAGGAAACGGCCAGGCGCAAGATGCAGTGCACAAGGCGAGAGCCCCCAGGACCAGGCCCTTGAAGCAGATCCCACGCTCCCATTTCCATCAGCTCCCAGCAGCGTGTCAGATTATGAACCCTTTAAGGATTAATCCACTGAGGAAGCCAGGGCTGTCATGATCCAGTTACTTCCCTGAAGCTCATCTGAACGTTGCTACTTTGGGGACCAAGCCTTCTGCACATGAGCGTTTTGGGAGAGACTTCATATTCAACCGTAATCCTCGGTGCTGTATTATCATCTGTCTCTGCCCCAGCTGTGCTTTAATGTATATTGCATATGGGGCATCACTTATTTAAAAAACAGTGTTATTTATGTCATGAAACGTCCACATTTTATCCCAAATAGCATCTGCATTATAAGCCAAAACTTAGACAGCTAATGTACCATTTTCTGGAGAGCCATGCCCCATTAGACAATGTGTTGTAGGGTTATTTAGTGAACACGCTGGATACACCAAGTACTCTTGCCAAAAATACTTCATGTTTGTGTTAAATGTCAGTGTACCAAGCAAGTCAAATGAAAGATTACTAAGCGAACATACTGAAATGTTTGGAAGAGGCACATTTTAAGATACAGAAAGTTTGAGAATGTGAGAAAGGCTATATTCCAAACCAAAAGCAAATACGTATTAGTTAATATAAAAAGGAGACTCAGCCAGGCAATACAGGTGGTGTACACCTGTAATTCCAACACTTTGGTAGGCCAAAGCAAGTAACAAATTTGAACCCAGCCTTGCCAATTTAGTGACAGTGAGACCTTGTCTCAAAATAAGGAACAAAAGGGGCTGAGTATGTAGCTCAGTATGAAGGTACTGGGCCCAATCTCCCATATCATAAAAATATCAACCATACAAAGTGAGAAATATTGCTGGACATACTTGCATAGTAATTAAAGAGTCAGTTGAAGAGGAAAACCTAAAATCCACAATATCTGTGCACTTAATAAAGTTTCAAAATACATAAAGCAAAAGTTGCCAGAACTAAAAGGAGAAAAAAGGCAAATTCAAAACCACAGTTAAGAAATTTAACATATCACTCTTACTAGCAGCAAAAGAGAAGCATACAAAGTATTCAGGAAGCATTTAAAAGAGTTCAGTATTAGGAATGAACGCAGGCAGTATACCACAGCTACACCTTCATTCCTTTTTTTTAAAATTTTAATACTATATTTATTGAAACAGGAGATTAATACAAGTTACCTTTGGCCTCTGCAATTACAAGATGTGCTCAAAGTGGTGACCTGATTCCTTTATATTATTTTATTTTGAGACAGAATCTTGCTAAATTGCCCACACTGACCTTGTACTTGTGATCGTCTTGCCTCAGCCTCTCATGCACCTGTGATTACAGGCATGCACCACTGTGCCTGGCCATTTAAAAGATTTTAATATCATAATTAACATAGAAAGTTTAATTCACACACACACACACACACACACTCATATGAACATTCTAAAGCCAACAACTTTAAAATTCTCTTCTGATTTGTGTTGACTATTTGTCAGTGTATACCAACTTTCAGAAAAATATCTTTTGAAAATTAAACCAGAACATAGAAACTACTTGAAAGTAGAATAACCCCTAAGTATTTGGAGAATAAACAACACAAAGAAATAACTCACCATGAATCCAAAAAAAAAAAAAAACATTGAGGAAGTTAGAAAACATTTTGATGAAAAAAGACATAGCAAAAATTGCAGATGCAGGTAAAGTGAAGCTTCGAGGGAACTGTCTGAGCCTGCATCTCACATCATAAATACAAAAACTTAAAAGCCAAGGATACTAGATTCCACCTTGGGGAATCAGAAGAAATGGGGAAGCTATAGGAATGTTGAAAAATAATTCGATAAAATAGGAAAGATAAAATTCAGTAGAGAAAACCAGCATCACAAAAATTAGTTGCTTAGCATTGATAGAATTGATACAGCACAAACGTGGGGAGAAAGGTATATTTCCAATATAAAAAGTGAAAGAAGGAACATTGTTCCATGTCCTACAAACTTACAAATAATCCTAGGAGAATCTGATGAACATTCTTCTGTTCACAATTTGAAAATTGAGATGAATCACACAACTTTTCTTAAAATTCATTTTAGCAAATCTGACAAATAAGAAATAGGCAGACGATACTTGTGTTAGTTTCTATTACTATAACAAGTGCCTGAGAGAATTGATCTGTAAGGAGAAAGTTTGGGCTTATGGTTTTAGAGGTGTCAGTCTGTGGTTGATTGCCTCATTTTGGGAGGACTATGGTGATACAGCACATCATGGCAGGGAGTGTGTGTTGGAGCAAAACCATGCACCTCATGGCTAGAAAATGAAAGAGAAAAAAGACGAGGTCCTATAGTTACCTTCAAGAGAACACCAATCATGACATGAAAGCTTGCCACTGGTCCATGCCTATTAAAAATTGCATAATCTCCCAGGAGCACCACAGTCTGGGGGCCAAGATTTTACATATGGGCTTCATCTGTTGCAGATCCAAACTGTAGCATGTTTAATTTCTCTACCTACTTAAAAGTTGAATCTGTAATTAAAACCTTCCTAACAAAATCCCAGGGTAGGTGTCATCAGTGGTCACCTTCAGATACTTAGGAAAGAAAGAGAACTGACTTTAGCAAACTCTCACAAAATAAAACACATTACCATACAA